TCCTTTGCAGCCGCTGACACTGCTATGTACTTAGCTTCTATAGTAGACAACAAAATTGTATTTTGCAAAATAGAGTCCCGTGATACTGCAGTGCCATCAATAGTATAAATATAACCTATAGTACTTCTTCTGGTATCAATGTTTCCAGTTAGATCAGCATCAACATAGCCCTGTACCTCTGAACTCTTTCCTGAGAAACACAAACAAATTTCTGAAGATCCTCTTATGTACTTCAAGATCCACTTCACTGTTTCCCAATGTTTCTTTCCAGTATTACTCATGTATCTGCTAACAACTCACATTGCATTGGCAATATCAGGTCTGGTGCAAACCATAGCATACATAAGTGAACCAATAGTTGAAGCATAAGAAACCTTACTCATGTGATCTTATTCCTCCTCTGACTTGGGTGATTGATTCTTGTTGAGTCTGAAGTGACTTCCCAAGGGTGTGCCAACTGGTTTGGTCTTATCCATATTGAATCTGAAAAGTACATTTTTCACATACTCAGCCTGAGAGAGTTTCAACATGCATCTGACTCTATCTTTGACAATTCTCATACCAAAAATTTGTTTTGTCGCTCCCAAATCATTCATTGCAAAGTGCTTTGACATATGCTCCTTCAGATTATTGATCTCATCAATACTAGCACCTGCAATAAGCATATCATCCACATATAGTAGGATGATATAGGAATTGTCAAAATACCTGACATAGCAATAGTAATCTGCCTGACATCTATTATACTCTGCACTGTGCATGAAATTATTAAATTTTTTGTATCAATGTCTAGGAGCTTGCTTCAGGCCATACAAGCTCTTCTTCAATCTGCAAAGTGACTCTTCTTTTCCTTGTACCATGAACCCTTCAAGTTGGTGCATGTAGATGTCTTCTTCAAGATCCCAATGAAAAAAGACTGTCTTCACATCTAACTGCTCAAGGAAGAGATCTTCAGTAGCCACCATAGACAGTATCATTCTGATTGTTGTAAGCTTCACCACATGAGAGAAAATCTCGGAATAATCAATACCATGCTTTTGCTGAAAACCTTTTACAACAAGTTTAGTCTTGTACCTCTTACTGTCATCATGCTCAGTTTTCACTCGGTACACCCACTTGTTGTGCAGCGCCTTCTTCCCTGGTGGAAGTTCTGTCAACTCCCAAGTCTAATTTTCTAGCAAAGAATCTAACTCCTCCTTCATGGCAAGCTCCCACTTGCTCGAATTTTCATCTTGCAATGTTTCTTCATAACTCTCTGATTTTCCACAATCTGTCAGCAGAATGTAGTTTAAAGTTGGAGAATAACGTTGTGAAGAACGTCTAGCCCTTTCTGACCTGCGAAGTGTAACTGTAGGGGTAGATTGCTTTGAAACTGACTATGGAACAATAGAAGTGGATGTCTGGATCCACTCTTCTCGTCACGTGCATCTCTATCCTGCACTGTGACCTCTGATAAATCATCAAATATTACCAACTCAGATTCCTACAATATTGTTTCAGAAACTATACAGGATTTGTCCTTGTACATAACCTTCTCATTGAAAATCATGTTCCTGCTCCTTATGATCTTCTGACCCTGATCATCACAGAAACGATATTCAAATGTTTCGTCTCCATAGCCAATGAAATAACACTTCTTTGACTTAGTATAAAGCTTACTTCGAGCATCAAGATTAATGAGAATATAAGAAAGACATCCAAAAGTCTTAAGGTGAGAAAATTTGACATCTTTCACACTCCAAATTTCTTCAGGTAATTCACAGTTTAATGAAACAGATGACCCCCTGTTGACCAAATAAACTGCAGTACTGACCGCTTCTGCCTAGAAAGGAGGTGGGAGTCGCTTCTGCCCAGAAAGTGGGTGGGTGCAATCTCATGCTTCTAGCGCTTCTAGCCCGCTCATTAATGGTCATGTTCATGCGCTCTACAACACCATTTTATTGTGGTGTCCCTGGAGTGATCTTCTCCATTCTGATGCCCTGAACTGCACAGTACTCCCTAAACCCACCATCAATGTACTCACCACCATTATCAGACCTCAGACATTTCAGCTTTAAGCATGTCTTTATCTCAACCATGGACTTCCAAGTCTTGAAAACACTGAATACATCAGATTTATACTTTAAGAAATAAACTCACACATTTCTGCTATGATCATCAATGAATGTGATGTATTAACGAGTGCCTCCAAAAGATGCCACTGGAGAAGGTCCCCACACATCTGTGTGTACAAGATCCAGCTTTCCTGTCTTTGGCGTACTACCACTTTTTAAGAAACTGACATTTTTTTATTTCCCCATAATGCAACTCTCACACATGCTGAAATCAACTGACTACAGTTCTAATAGCTTGCCTCTAAACTGAAGTTCCTTCATACCCCTCTAACTCATGTGGCCAAGTCTGTAATGTCACAACTCTGTTGTGCTCTCTACAACAGTAGTATTAACACTGTTAATTAAACCAGTAGACATATATAGCGTACCTGTTTTCTTACCACGAGCCAGTATCAGTACTCCTTTAGTAACCTTCTAGGTGCTATCTGAGAACGCTACTGAATGTCCACACTCATCAAGTTGTCCAACAGAAATAAGGTTCTTCAGGTCAAGAATGTGTCTCATCAAGTTGTCCAACAGAGTCCAATTGTTATTCTTCGGAAGTCCAATTGTTATTCTTCGGAAGTCCAATGTCAATATCTCTTATTCCTACTACGTTTAGAGCTTCTCCATCTGCCAGATATATTTTCCCAAAGTCACCTACAACATAATTTTGCATTAATTCCGGATAGAAAGTTGTATGGAAAGAAGCCACTGAATCTAGTATCCAGTCATCAACAGAACTATGAACTATCAGCAGTAGTGCATCCTGTGATTCTTTAGTTACCACATTTGCATTGTCATTCTCCGTCTTTTTAAGATTTCTGCAGTTTCTCTATATGTGATCAGTTTTGCCACAATTCCAGCAAGTTACTTGTTTACAAGGCATTGACTTGTTACTGTTTTTGTTCTTTGATTTTGATCTTTCCCAGTTTGAGTTCTTGTTCTGTGATCTTCCTCTAGAATCAACATTTAATGTTGATCTCAAACCTGAGATTTCGTTAGAATCTACCCTGCGCGCCTCATCAGCCAAAATCAAATCACGAATATCTTTATATTTCAATTTTGATTTACCTGCAGAATTACTAACAGTCATCCTCATAGCTTCCCAGTTATTTGGCAATGAAGTCATCCTCATAGCTTCCAAGTTATTTGGCAATGAAGCCAATAAGATCAGTGCACGTATCTCATCATCAAATTCAATTTCTACAGAATATAATTGATTTGTGATAGTATTTAAATCATTCAGGTGTTGTGCAACAGACGTACCTTCCGTCATCTTCAAATTGAATAACTTTTTCATCAGATATACTTTGTTATTCGTCGATGGTTTTTCATACATACTTGACAGGGCTGTCATAAGATCTACAATCGTCATTTTTCTTGACGACATTATATGCAATGAACCTCGATAGAGTCAATCGAATAACCTCTAAAACTTGTCGATCCAACAGATTTCATTCCAGCCTCATCCATCCTTTCAGATCTTTTCCCCAATAAAAACTTGTCGATCCAACAGATTTCATTCAGCATTATCTATCCTTTCAGATCTTTTCCCCAATAACGAAAGATGGAGTTTCTTCACATAGAGGTAGTCTTCTATCTGCATCCTCCATTAACCAAAATCTGTGTCATCAAATTTCTCGATTCCTGAAACCTTCATTTCATCTGCAGTCATTAGCTCTGATGTCAGTTGTGATAATTTAAAATAAAACGATCGACGACAAAGCGAAAAATAGAACGTCAAAATTCACACTAGAAAAGAACACACATATTTACGTGGTTCGGCAAATTGTCTACATCCACGTTGTTGCAGAGGATTTTGTTGCTTGAGGATTTACAACGTCAACCACGTCGACAATTACAAGAAAGAAGTTTCTTGATTCCTCTCTCTTTTTATCCGAGAGCCACCAAAGAAGACAAGTGCAAAGAAAAGAAAATCTTCACCGCAAGCAATAGCTCCTCCTTCCTGTCTTCACGGCAAGCAAGAGCTCCTCCTTCCTGTCTTCACCGCTCACAACTATCAAAGGACGAGTTGCGATATCTTCTTTCTTCGTATTGGAGAGATCGCTCGGTTTCCTTTCTTCTGCTGCGTTTTCAATTCCAGTCGCAGCCTTGCAATCCCGTGAAACCACTACGCCCTGCTTTCTTATCACGAGAGAAAGAGATGCAATTGAGGGAGATGCCTGATTCACGAAACCAAAAAAAAGGAGTCTTATTCGCGAACCGCAGAAAAATGAAACAGTCAAGTGGGCGGTAGGCGGGAGTAGTTAGGCGGCAAGCAAATTCCCCCTTTTTTTTTTCTCGATATCGTTTTGGACGGGCTCCACTTCAACAAGTAGGTTTGGCCAAATCTAGACGTATTGGTTGGATTATTGGAGTAGAAGTGATGCTAGGCATTATATTATCCTAATTCAAATTGGAAGGCTAATCTTATGGTTCATATATTGGTGCACTATTTGGAGAAGATAGCATTTTGGGCATTCAATAGACAGTTCTACCGGCTATTTTAAGTTCAATCAGCATTTCTTTACTGTTAATTGTACTATTACTTGAAAGGGTACTATATTCTTTTTGTCTTTTTTCTTTAACTATGTAAGATTTGATCCTACATTCTGCTTTTCAAGTAAACGTACGGAGCCCACTAAACATTATTTCAATGATAAGTTCAACTTTTATACATACATACATACATGCATAGCTATGTAGATATATATAGATATATATATATAAATATATATATATAGATATATATATATATATATATAGATATATA